CTTCATTAGAAGCAAAAGTGTCAAAGTGTGTATAAATATATAACATAAATCGAATAATTACTAACCAATTTCCATTTAGGCAATATTCCGTGTCGCCTAGAACAAAGCTACTGATTACATTAAGGTTCTATGCTAGCGGTAGTTTCCTAATTACGGTTGGCGACTTTTGTGGTGTAAGTGTCTCTACTGCCAGTCGTTTAGTGAAAGAAACGTCGCATTTTGTTAGACAAATTTAATTGCAATTCAGTTTTTATTAAACATTTCTAATCTATTTTCAGTCTTTTAAATGCTGAATAGCTAATAATATTACTTTTAATTACAAGATATATTTACAATTAAAAATTACAAGATATATTTAAAAATACATTCGAATTACTCTAAAAATTTTAACTTTTTTTCCTCCAACTCTAACTGCAAAATTTCATTCTTTAGTTTCAATGAAGATATTTCGTGTTCATGCTTTTCTTGAGCACGCATTTCTTCGTTTTCATGCTTCTCCTGAGCACGAATATTCTCGTTCCTGTAAAAGCTCTGTTGTAAAAGAACAAGTTCAAGTTTTTCTTCCTCAAGGTTGCGTTTTCTTTTGCCGCCGTGAACCAGTTCTTTCGATTTAGGCTTTTTTAAAGTCTGTGGGCAAAAGTCGGTTGACCAGTCTTTTCCTTCTGTTGAAACATTCATGGGATTGTTCTAAAAAATATAAACATAAAAAATAATATATAAAACATCAATTGTCACTTAAAATTTACTTAAAGTATTACAGAATTGCCTTCTCGAAACCCCATGTAAATCGCTAAGAGCAAGTAATTTAAAATTTTCCAACTTCTAGAACATTACCTAGCTAGTGGAACGATCTTCTTTATTGTATAATCAACTAAAACTTGTTCGTAGATTTACGGTGGGTTTTGTCAACAAATCAAGAATTTGGTCTGTTCCAGAACAGCAAGAAGGTAATAGTTTTCACTACACGATAACAGATCTTCCCTTTATGATATCGAATAAAATTGCAAAACTAGTAGATTCTTGCAGGTACTGGAACAGAGCAATTATTATGAAACTTACATTTTCTTTATTGCTTGCCTCAATAGATTCATTAGATGCATTTAGCTCACTGTAGTCAATGTAATCAGGTTCAACAACTGCAAGAGAAATACCAATAAGTCATAAAATTGCTCAGTGTAGCGTTTTGTACAAAGAACTTACCAAAATCACTATCATACGTATTTTCCAAGCCTGTTGCGGAATCTCCTAGCATGGATGCTATTTTTTTCGAAACAGTAGATACTTTACAAGTCACCATTCCACCACCCGTACGATATGTTTCCAACTTCTGTTCTGCCAGTTCAATCTTTGACTTACGTTTTATAACCTCGTATTTATCACGCAGTGCTTTCCAAGGTCGTCGTAATCCCATACTGGCTGCGAAGTCGTCTTCAATTTTCTTCCAAACTGCTTCTTTCTGCTTCCAAACGACAGAGTCAGACTTTTTGTTCTCAATAATATGCTTGTGGTCATCTACCAAGTTCACAAGCAACATTTCCTCTTCTTTTAAGAAATTTTTGGCCCGTTTTCTATGACGGGCTTCCGTTTGGTTATCCATTTTCGATTCACTTTTTTGCAAAAATTTATTTTACGAAATTAAGGCAAATTCTTTTTGTTTATTTTTGTTCTAACTAAAATAATGATGCCACTTTGAAAAAAAATGCAATGACTACCAGTTACATCTACAAAAAAGTAATCATTGAGAGCAATTTATTGCCATATCTCTGAAAAAAAAAGGAATTATTTTAAAGGAAGGTTGTAATAATGAAAGTCCCATAAAGTGAACTTTATCCTTCACTTTTCCTAAAGTAAGGTATAACAAAAGTGAACTATAAAGGTAAGATATAAGAACGGGCCTAACTCTGATAAATAAATCCTATTTCATCCATACTTTTATGATCGACTCTGGACTGTCGTGTGTGTTTGACTTACTTTTTTATACTTTTGTTTTTTTCTGTCGGATCATTGCTCTTACTCTCTCTTCGAGTATACATCAACGGGCGAGTATCAACAATGAGTACCAAAAAAGTTTAATGAGCCCCACAAAGAATACAAAAGCGTGTATAGCATATTAAAAAGCGTGTCAAAACTAGAACTCAATTTTTAAATTTTAAACAAAACACGGAAATTTAGAAGTCGTAAAACTTTATTATATCGTAAAGTAGGCACACTGAGGTTTTATATGGGGCAAGATATCTTGCAGATGGCCGAAGCTGCTTTGCCGGCACACACACGACCTTTAAAATTTGAGTCGTCAACTTAATCGCGTAAACCATCGACTTTAAAAAACCCCAAAGAAAAAATCTAAAGGTGTTAAGTCGCACGATCTAGGCGGTAAATTCTGGTCTCCAAAGCGCGACCGGGAAGTGTGTGATACAGCAATTGAATTATTTCTCTGTTCCATTAATCTCTTTACAGTTGACTCAAATTGATCGTAGTTTTCGGACTGTAGTCACAAAACTTTCACCATAAAAAAACAATTTCACAATGAGAGTGCGTTGTTCATTCGTTTTCCATTCACCTCGAACAGTTTAAGTTCTAGTTGGGATACCCTTTCCTTTTATTTCAGCAAATGGCGTATGGGTGTCGAATTTAACCAATTGTGCAGTTCTTTGTTACTGTGGCGTATAAAGTATATATTTCAATGAGCAGTCGACGTGAAAGGATTAATAGCTTGGGTCCATTTTTAAACATTGTACAGAGCTGATTCGAGTTTATTATACCCTCCACCTTGGAAAGGAGGGTACATTAACTTTGTCATTCCGTATGTAACATCCCTAAATATTCGTCGTAGACCCCATATATATTCATAATCAGAATAAAATTCTAAGTCGATTTAACGATATCCGTCCATCTGTCTGTTGAAATTACGATACAGCCCACACTATTTAACAGAATAATTTGTATTGTGTCTAGGATCGTTGGTATTGAAAATGAGATATATCGGTCCACGTTTTTATACAGTCCCCATATAACGGCACCTCTCGATATTCGGTATTTCGGTATTTTTGCCACATTTTTCCACGGATTTATCTAAAAATTGTTATTTATATGTCATATTGGGTTCTAGCTAGTGTTGCGAAACATTGTATGTATAGGTCCACGTTTTGGTATAGCCCCCATACAACGGTAACTGCCGATATTCGATATTTTGATAAAAATTGGTATTTGTAGTTCATAATGGGTTCTAGCCCGGTTGCAGAACATGGAATATTTAGTTCCACGTTTTCCTATAGACGAAAGTGTAACGATACCCACCGGATATTCGGTATTATTATAATCCCAGTCACATTAACCCACATAATTGTTTCATATTTGGTATTTTAAAAGATAGATGTGTTTTGTAGTGGCCCCATATGACGGCCTCACTCACTTGATAAGTTTAACTGCATTATCCAAACGGTTTTTCTGGTATATGAAGTTTAAAGTGAAACTTGCCTGAATCCGGCCAAACTTAATATTTTTTAATTGTTTTTTTTTTTTTTTTTGTATGTATAATAATTAGGCTGAGCTTTTTTCATGTTACTGCTAATTTTAATTTAGTAGCAGGCGCTCTCTCAGCTACATTTTTTGTAGTGTAGTGCTACTTGTTGGCCTAGCTCACTGATAGGCAAAATATTTTGATGAATTGTTAGCAAGCGTAGCTGAAATTTTTTTCGGTGCAATTGCTAAATTGGCGTAAGTATTTGAAGCCCTGGATATTTCTATTCTCAATGTTCGGCTCATTTGACAAATAAATGTTAGGCATATAATTCTATTCTGATAAATTGCTTAGATTTACTGCAATTGCAACCTAACATTTTTAACAACGTTTAAGCTTTTCAAAGAAAATATTGTAAGGTTACAACTTACGGGCGCAGTTCTTTAGGTTAGTATGTTCTAAGAATATGCCGTTACTAAATCATGGGGCAGCAACACGGTCTGGATCAGCTGGTGATCAATAATTCTTTAATTAGTTTTCATCAATTTAAGTTTGTTTCAAAAGGTGTGTTATTCAACCTTCATTTTCAAAAAATTATATCACTGGAAGAGGAGACAGTGTTGCAAACACCAAGACTATATATGGCGACTGATGCTGCAAATAAAATTTAATTTATGAGTTTTGGCCTTTTCACTGCAAATTTCAGATCATTAAGCTCGTCTCGAAAGAGAAAACAAACAACAAAATTTAATTTATTTTCACGTACTTGGGTCGTTGCATACAGGTCCGAATTGTATTGTGGATTACTTTTAGCATTAGTGGTGACTAATTCAGCATATTTTCTGTCACTTAGTATTTTTTGCAAGTTGTACAAAATAAAAGAAGAGGTATACCCTTTTCTTAGTTATGTATTAAGTGGAGCTAGGACCACTGTCTATGAAATATCTCTGAAAAACAGCTTTATACAGCATGTTAAGGCATTCTGAATGGCGACAAAGATAGCGCCGTTGATGTTCCAAACGTTAGTAACAAGTAGACATAAGGTTTTTACATACTTGCATATTTTAATTAATTAAAATTTAAGAAATCTGATTGGACCAAAGTTTGTTATATTGAAGGTAATTTGATTCTACATGCAAAAATATGCAAAACATGCAATTTTTTCCTATATATCTTTATTCGTTTTCATAAATACATATTGCCGCAATTTAAGCTAATCACTAATATTGAATATAATTTTAAACTCGGATGTATTCTGTCCTGTCACCACAAGAACGGTGTTGCCTGCAAAGGATCTGATAAAACAGTTTTGTTTTGAAGCAACAAAATAGTAAAAATTGCAGACCAATTTATGGTAAATGTATTAAAAAGTGAACACGTTTGTACTAGGCAAAACTGGTTCAGGACAAACAAATTGGTTACAAAAGCGAATGTACTAATGGGGCATGCGTGCTCTACAATATTAAGAATGATAGAATCGCAAATTTATTAGTGAATAGCTTGATTTTTTATTAATTATAGTTTATTATGTTTATTGCAGTCACTACGGAAACACTCATGGAAAATCAAATATTTTAACTTCTGGAGATTTAACTTCATTTATATATCAAATTGCCAATGGAATGCAATTCCTGACTTCCCGCGGGGTAAGTAAACTAACTTTAAATTTTTGCTTATACAGTATGATAAAGTATGCCCGAAAACTAGTATCGTCGTTTTTATACAATCCATATTTTTAACATTGCCGATAAACTTATTTCATAGTAACTTAAAACAAATATTACAGCAGATATCATGAGGCAGGATACTGAAAAATAGAAATATATCTGTATACGCAAACATAGTACTTTGTTGTACCAACCTTAGTAAATACAGAATACAAAACAATCGTTTTTTGATTTCCAATGAATCCAGGAGAACACATTAAATTATTGAAATGAATTATTACTTAAACTAATGAAAAAATGAGCATGGAAGCTTTGCAGCCCTTCCTTAACCTGATCTTGCACGTATTGCCTTGTAATACGTTAATATTTCGTGTTAGAAATGTCGGATTCCGCTGGAGCGAGAAATTTCTTTTAAAATGTGACCAGGTGCCAATAGAGGGAAATCATTAAGATCATGCCGCTACTTAGACTTGGGGTCTCGAATTTAGGCAAGCTTCGATGACAGTTCAAATTTTCAAATTGAACTTAATGGACTTTACTCCGTCTTCCCACAAACCGCCTAAGTGGGTGAAATGAATTCTAATTTAGATTTAAATGAACGCTACTCGGTCTCATTTCAGCAGATCGACTTTTCCCTCAAAAATTTGTACCGTTATCTGTCTAGGCGCGCAAAGAATAACCTCACTCAGTAATAAATATAGAAATTGCCTGTGAATGTTATATACTTCACAGTTACGTGTTTTTTTCTTGTCTAGAATATTGTGCGGTGTTGAGATAATTTTACTCGCGATTTAGAAAATGTTTTATTGGTACCAGTCTGATCTTGGATACTAGTAATAATGGATATTTATGATTATCGAAGTATTCTATTCGGATGTACAATGCAGCATCATATACGCTTTCTGAAGCATCGCAGAATCTATGGATTTTATCCAAATCGTATATAACTCGGACCTTTATGATGTTTCAAATAATTTCACATTTTTAACGAAGTTCATACAGGGTATGTGCGTTAATCATCGCAATTGGTCTTGCATAGCCGGGACTTGTGTATTATTAGTTCCGTTGTAATGATAACTGACCTTCCACATGGGTCAAATAATTTGTATATAGTTGACAAAACTCCTCGTTTTCTGTATGTATTCTGGCAAATGCCAACAAATCTTCTTGCGATTAAAATCCAGCGGATTCATAAATATCCCCAAAAAATTACAGTTTCATCGACTGTGTGTTATTTTCTTTCATGTAGAACGTGAAGCATTGAATACAACCCTTTACTTCATCGTGATAAGGTAAATAATAAGGTTATCGATTTCATGCTCATTAATTTTTTAATGTGGTCAAGTTTAATTTTTTTTCCATTCTATAAAATTAAGCTAAGCCAATATTACTTGAATTGCCCAGCTCCTCACATTTTTTGTATGGGAGAGTCACATCCTATCTTTTTATACACTACACCATAGCAATGAGATATATTAAGTTTGTCATTCCGTTTATAATACCTCGAAATATACATTTTAGACTCTACAAAGTATATATATTCTTAATCAGCACAAAGTTCTTTGTCGATTTGGCGATGTCCGTCCGTCTGTGGAAATTACTCTAGCTTCCGAACGACATAAGGTAGGTTAATAAAATCTTACCCAAATGTGTATTATGTCTGCAGGACTTTTCGTATTGAAAACGCGTCTTCGTATAGCCCCCATATAACGGTACCTCCCGATATTCGGTATTTTGATAATTTTCGCGAAATCATTCACCGGAATTGTTTCAAATTTGATATTTGAAGTTCGTAGCAGATGCTACAACATACGACAGAAAATTGTCTGTGCAACTTCACATCTTCATATAGCCCCCATATAACGGTACCTCCAGATATTCGGTATTTTGATGTTTTTTGCGACATTATTCACCGGAATTGTTTCAAATTTGGTGTTTGAAGTTGGTAATGGATGCTACAGCCTATGACAGAAAATTCTCTATGCAGGCCCACGTCTTCGTATAGCCCCAATATAACGGTTACTCCCTATATTCCGAATTTTGATGATTTTAGCGACATTATTTACGGAAATTATTTCAAATTTTGTATTTGAAGTTCGTAATGGGACCTACAGATACAACATAGAAATAACTTTTAGGTTCACTTTTGGGACAAATCGATTTAGATATAGATTAAGCTTCCTTATATAAATATATATAACTTGCAAGTGTCCGCTACTTCGTCAGTGCTGAGTCCACCTTACAATTTTAGAGTCCTTACACCACTTCATTTTAGTACCTAAAATGCACAATTTGTGCATTTGGACAAAATTGTCAAAGAAATCATTAGACATCGTACTAATTTTTCAACTGTACCAGTTCGATGTCGAAAACGATAATAGGAAAATGATTACTTCTTGCACAAAAAAAATCTTCAAAATCTTTCATTTGAAGGTAACCGAAGAGCATATTAGTTGATCCCTTGCACAAAGGTTCCACATCCAATTTGTTGTGGCCAGAACCAACATTGACCTTAATATCAAATTTCAGTATTCAAGCTCTATCCATTCACTTCACGGCAAATTTAGTTATTTTCGAACAAGCATAGTACGCATTCCCAAACCCACCTGCATCACTCAAAACTCTATACCAACAGTGGATTCTGCAACAAACATCAGAATTTCAGCCCTATCCTAAGAACCAATCCCAAATCCATTATCGTACTTTTCATACAGTTATACTACATATGTCCAAAAGCACTTTCTTCTTTCCACCCTAGGCACGACCTCGATACTAAATCTTAGAATTCCATCTCCATCGCAACACCCAACGGCAACTTCTTCTCTCAAACACAGACACCGAAAGTGACATCCTATTCCCACTTAGTACACACTATATTGTTACCAGGTCATGCGGGAATTATAGGTGACAAGGACAATCCAATACCAATACCTTACTGGTTACCGGGCCTAGAAGCACATTTGAACATTTGTATTTGGTGTTGTATATGCAGGGCATGCGGGGAAGATTATGAAACATTGGAGGCATTAGAAATATCATACGAATCCATACCAGACCTAAATCAAATAATGCCAAATTAAATAGAACAGTACGGTATTTTGTTAAGACAACTGAATTTTAAATATAATAGACTGTAATATGACCGTCCGTATTCAATAACCGTCCGTATTCAATAACCTTTTAGTCTAGAGCATAAAACAGACCTATACAACCAATGGAACTTTGTGCAGCAATCTTTTGTTTCTTCGATTTACAAGTTATTGGACCTCAAGCAAGAAAAATTACAAATCCACTAAATGATTTGCGGTCCACCACATTTGAGCCCCAGTCAGCATCTGTATAACATACCAAACCATTAGAATAACTGAATGATAACATACCTTTTGCAGATAGATATGTCAGCTATCCTGTTAACGACTGTTACATTTTTACATCAAATCAATTTCAGTTCTCTTCTTTACAAACTTCTAAGACCGTTCCAGCCACAAAAGGGGTAAAATGGCTTACATTGTTCCATATTCCATCCCCGAATCCATTCTTCTGTATACGATGACTGATGTACTGATATATTTCCTCGAAGACCGTCTCTTTTTGTCTCCATTCCCAAATAGTATTTGAACGGACCTCTATAAATCGCATCCATATACTTATTCAAACTCAGTACCACTTCGCTTAATGAGTTCTCCTCTGACATTGCGAGTAAAATATCGTCGACATAAATAGCCAACATTACCAATTCTTCCTCCATATGTAACACATACCAGCAATTATAGGTCTTGCTGCGAACAAAATTTCCATCTAGTAATATTTGGTACCAATCTCGGCCTGCCTGTTTAAGACTGTAAATAGATTTTTTCAGCTTGCAAACCCCATTTGGGATATTTTGGTCAATAAACATAGGCGGCTGCCACATATATACCTCTTTTTTCAAATCACAATTAAGGTATGCGGAAACAATATCGATATGGTTGACAAGCATCTTCCGAACAGCAGCAACTGCAAACAACATTCTAATAGCAGTAAATCTCACAACTGGATAGTATGTTTCAATTTCAGTCAATTTGGGAGAATCCCTGAGCAACAAGTCGTACCTTCTGTTTAACAATCTTTCCAGAAGGGTCTCTCTTGGTGACAAACACCCCCTTACAACCAACAGTATTCTTTACATCTGGCCTTTTAACAAGTTCCCATGTGTTTTTTCTCATCAGTGACTCCAAATCCTCTCTCATTGTTTTTCTCCATTCATTTGCGTTGGAAGATTGTATAACCTTCTCAACCGTATTCGGGTCTTTATTAATTCCTTCTACCTTATTCACAATTTGATAGGTTCCACAACAAATAATTTTTTCGGTTGTCCTTTTCTTTCCGTTCTCACTTTTTTCGGCCTACCTATTTTTTTTAATAACTTGCGCCTTGACTGATCCATACGTTGAGAATTCACTATGATTGTCATCCAATTCATTTGTGTGTTGCTCTCTTGAACTCCTCTTTCGGGTTGACATTCGCTATCGGGAAAATGTTGAAGATTTAATTCCAAATTAAACCAATCATCGTTGTTTCGCTTTATTCCATCATCCGTATCGAATGCAATTGTAAATTACTTTTCAAAGAAAACAATATCACGAGCAATAATAATATTTCTGCATCCTTTGTTTTATAATCGGTAGGCCTTCGACTAGTGTGCATAACCAACAAAAATATATAGCTTTCCTTTAGGTTGTGTCTTAGAGCGAATTGGCTTTATGTCCATGGCAACAACGTCACATCCCAAACATCGAAGATTGGCGACTGTAGGCTTTCTACCGAACCGACATTAATGGGGCGTCTTTTATTAGATTAGATTTAGATTAGAGTCCCATAACATACACAACGCCATCTCAACTACGGTTCTGTTTAATTTTTCGGCAACTCCGTTCTTCTACGGGATGTATTTTACTGTAGTCTGGTGTTCTATGCCTGGCGATGATAAATACAATTGA